CAAACCACTGAGCTAAGATGCCATCTCCCAGCCAGCCATGATTACCTTCATCCCTTATCCTGAGTCTTCTGGTGAGATATGGCAGCTTGGCTGGGTGTCCTACCTCCTCATGGACACAGATATCTGGTCTGTACCAGCCCATGCTGCTGCTCTGCCCTAGCCACCCCTGCCTGGCCTCCTATCTCATTGCAGCTTCCCTAGTCTGTGCTGAAGCCATGCTCCAAAAGATGCCATGCAAATCGTTTTCAAATTGAAGGAGAGATGATGAAAAGAACAGCTTGAGAAAAAATCATACTAGAGTATGAGGACATGAGCATGATGGCTATTTACTCTTCTGCTGCAGTGCCACATGTAAGCATAGCTTGAAAAGATTAAGATGTCTTGATCCTGGAGAGATAAAATTAGTAAGTCTAACATGTCTGGGCTTTCCTCATTTTTATGCTAGGAAAAGCCTCCCCCCCCCGAATTTGACTTGAATTCACAAGTAGAGTTGGCTTCCCTTCAGTGGTATGTTTTGGTGAGTACATTATTTACTACTGAAATAGAAAAGGTCTCTGGTGTAGCAGTGATGGGGTAAAAAATGAAAAACAAAGATGAATGTAAGAAGAAGAAAAGCAGAGTTTGCAGCTGAGCTATGAGATGAAGCAGAGGTCATAAGGGACAGAGCTACAGGAAATCTGTTCACTATGGCAGCAGGTGCAGGGGGGAGCTCTCATACACTGATATCAATTGGAAGCGAAAGTACCACACAAAGAAGCAGCTATGTGTAGACAATGAGAAGCAAAGAGGCCAAGATGAGGAGTGGAAAACAGAGGAGGCAATTCCGAGCTTCCATGAGGGCACAGGAAGTTGTTTGAGAAGAGGCAGCAGCCCTGCCTTCAGTACACAGGGAGGGATTGTTTGAATTTGGTGGGATTTCTGATGCAGCCTGTAATGCTGTAGTTTCACAGTCGCTTTCAACTGGAGAAAGGGCTTTGGTGGGAAAAAAAGAAAAAGAGGTTTAAATCCACATCTGTTCCCAGTTTACTGTAGAGCCAGAGAAACGTTCTTGCAGCAAAAACCGGGCAGTAGCACAGGGGAAGAGAAAGAAGGCACAACTGGAGAAGTAGTGGAGGGAGTAAGGCAGAGCCATTTCTTTAGGCAGCTGTGCCTGTATACACCATCATAATGAAAATTAAAAATCTAGACATAGCAAAACATTTCAGCTTCTTCCTCTATAACTTAAATTAGAAGATAGCCATATAGTATCAGCTCTTAGGTATGTTTCGTGCAATTTCTTACACCATCCATCTCACTCTAAATACTAAGTAGTGCTCAAAAATGCATTAGGGTAAACTGTAACTGGGTAGATTTCTCTGTAAGCTCTGGATGTCTCACCATGTCATTTTGATCAGACATTCCATGCAGGGCACAATTCAAACAGCATTAAAACCCAAGAATACTGCTCTTACCTACCAGAAGTCTGTCTGCTTCCTGCATCATTTTCTTCATGTGTCTCAAGTCTTCTGTAGAAACTATCTGCCATCTCCCTCCAACTCCATTCCAATGGTCTGACAATTGAATAAGGGTGATTGCCCAAAAGGCAGCTCCTTGCTTAGTAAAGGAACAGATTGCCATGTTCAATATATAAATATATATAACACACACACACATTCACACATAGTGCTGATAATCTACTGAGGTAGTGACTTACAGTCTGCTGAGATTCCAAGGCCAGGTTGGATGGGGCTTTGAGCAACATCGTCTAGTGGAAGGTGTCCCTGCTCAGGGCAGGGGAGTTGGAACTGGGTGATCTTTAAGGTCCCTTCCAACCCAAACCATTCTGTGATTCTATGATTCTGTTGTGGTGGGAATTTTCTGTTAAATATGCACATTAATGTGAGTATACATGAGGCAAGGGAAAGTCACCTGAAGCAGACGTGTTGAAGTTTCGCATAAACTTTAACTCTTGGAACAGATTCAGAACAATGCAAAGAACCCATTAACAAGGTGTTGTTTTTTTTTTCCCTGAATATCGATCATGCCATGCCTCCTTTGATTATTAGTTTAGAGAATCAGCTTTGGACTGATTGGTAACCTCTGCTGTTCAACATTTCAGATGAAACAAGTCTGCTTCTGATTCTAAGCTATTTGAGGTAGCATGAACGAGGGCTGGCTGTAAAGACGTGGAGAAGGACTTTATGAGGCTGAATGACTGGACAATCAAAGAACAGATGAAATTCACTGTGTATAAATTGAATTGGCACCTATCAGTAAGAATAATCCTAGCCTCTCATATAAGATAAAAAACTCTGAGATGACTGTTGCCACTGAGGAAGAAACTGTGGGGTTAGTAACATATCAGAAAATATCATCTAAGTGAGTGGCAGCAGTCAGAAAAAACAATCAGATGTTACAGACTATTGCTAAAGGAACATAGAACACAACAGGAAACATGAATAGCAGTACAAATCCATAGCTAACCTGTACCCTTACTTAGCGCCATCATCCCAAAAAGCAGAAAGATGTAGAGAGGAGCAACAAAGATAATCAAAGGTTTGGAGCCGCTTTTGTACAGGGTCAGTTTTTGAGTAGCTTAGCATCCCCCAGTTTGGAAAATGGATCACATGATCCCTTTTCATAACACATATGGAAATCATCAGCGTCACGGGCACATTAGGAAAGCACAATATCTCACAGCTCTCAAAGACAGTGAGCCACAGAGCTCAGTGCTCAGAGCAAGCACAAAGAGCTAGTGCCTTGTGCAGTGGGTGAGACCTGGGGAAGCCCTCACCCATGGATGTTGAGTGTGCAAAAGCTGAAGTGAGCTCAAGGGGAGGCTGGGTGAGCACTTGGAGAGCATGAGAGCCACCACAGAGTGCTGGCTCAACAAACCAAGTTGAGCTGAGGAAACCCCTGAGCACATATCAGTCAGAGAGGGGGAGAATCCAAAGGGGAAGTTTAGTGTGTACTGCCTTGTTCCTGCTGATGCTGAGGCAACTGCCATGGGTTTGAGCTGGACACAAGGCTTGGGCTAGATGGGCCCTTTGTCTGCATCAGTACAAATGCCTTTTACAACAAATTTCTCTCTGACTGGTGGGAGCTAGCACTGACATCATCTGAATCAGACTCACTGCAGCAAGGCTGAAGGAAGAAGGATGCATGGCTATTTTTGGCATGTGAGGCACAGCTGCTCTCTCTCTTCTCCCACAAGTCAGGAAGGGCACAGACTGGAACATGAGGTCAAAACTCCCTTTAGCATGTCCTGTATTTCTTAATAAATGGACTGAAACCAGAGAACATCAGTAAGCTGTCAGTTGTTAGAGAAACCTGAGCCTTTTTTTAGCAACTTTTCTGAATGTTATGAGAACTTCCTTGTGCGGAGGATGGTATTTTTAACTTACAATAGTATTTGATGCATCTGAGAAGGTAGAAGCATTCTTGTAGACTAGGATGGATAGAGGTCATCTTGAAAAACACTGATTTCTTGTGCATGGCTAATATAGTGGATATGGTGATTCATGGTTGAAGCAGATACTACTTTAGCAAAGGTAATAAAAAGCTGTAGTCAGTGGATAGTCATAAGCTTATATAAAGCTTGCAATTATGGGTACCAATAGAGAGAATACTGACTGTAAAGAAATACTAGGGACAGCAAAAGGTGATGCATGTGTTAACTACGGAGAAGAAGATACAAGGGAAATTATGGAGGATTAAAATTATCTAAGGCACAAAACAGGAGAGGGTTTTTAGGAGAAAGTTATATTGTTGCAATGATCTGTAAGTTCACGGGGACAGCCTCAGGAAAGGTATAGTGATCTTCAAAAAAGGACTTGAAATTATCTGCTGTATATTGTTGTGGGTTAACTCTGGTAGGTAGCTAAGCCCCATGCAGCTCCTTGCTCATTCTCCCTGCCTTGGTGAGATGAGTACCACAAATGTAAAAGCGAGAAAATTCATGGATTGAGGTATAGACAGTTTAATAGGTAAATCAAAAGCTGCATGCACATAGCAAAATAAGGAATTCATTTGCTGCTTCCCATTGGCAGGCAGCTGTTGAGCCAGCCTCAGGACAGCAGAGCTCCATCACACATAACAGTCACTTGGGAGGACAAACACCATCGCTCTCAGCATACCCCTCCCTTCCTTCTTCCACTCAACCTTTACTGCTGGGCATGATGCCATATGGATATATGGTCTGAGATATCCCTTTGGTCACTTGGGGTCAGCTGTCCCAGTTGTGTCCCCTCACAGCTTCTTGTGCAGCTGCAGCCCACTCGCAGGGCAGTCTGATTAGCAAAAAAGGCCCAGAGGCCAGTGTAAGCACTTCTCAGCAGTGACTAAACCATCCCTGAATTGTCAACACTGGTCACAAATCCAAACCAGAGCCCTACAATGAAGAAAATTGCCTCTATCCTAGCCAAACCCCATACATACATATAGAAATGACAGCACAACAAAATGGAAAGGGTCTGTGTTTGACATCTAGATACAAAGCCAATAAAAATATGTATGAAGGGTTGGCTACTTGAAGCCAATGAATACCGTGCTATCCAACTGTACACACACTCTTAATGAAGTCAGTATCTGACACACAACGCAGTGCCACAGCAGGGCTCATGAGCAGTCACACTATGGCTGTCAGACCCAACCAGTGCACAGTGCAGCTACCTTTGAAAGCAGATCGATTCCCAATAGTATATTTGGTATATATATTTGGTATAGCCGTATCCCCATGATGCTCGGATGCCCAAGAGGGAGCCTGTACGCCTCTGTATGTGCGGCAGAGGTGGCTCTTCTTGTGCGCTAATCCCGTCAGGATGATGCAGATGGGGAGTGCGAGCGTCGTCATCCTAACTTAATGCCGATGTGCTGCAGACCTGAGGGAGCAGAGACCGTACAGCCTGAGATCGCTGCACGGACAAGGGCCGGCCTTGCCCAAAGCGCCGTTGCTCGCTCGGCCTGTGCACGGCTCCACACTGGGCCCAACCGCGGCCCACTCCCTCTCCAGGGCGGTGGAGCTGCCTGCGGCCCGCCTCCGGCTGGGAGGGGCCGGCGCCACGGCCGCTTTCCGCCCCGGTGAGGAACGGGGTGGAGGGGGGGCCCGGGATGTGGCGGCTGCAGTCCCGGCCGGGCGGTACCGACAGGCGGCGCCGCGGCGGCGGGGGGGAGGCGGCAAGCTCAGGTGAGGGGGCGGCCTGAGGGCCCCGCGGCTGCTGACGGGGAGGGCGGCCCGGGCCGGCGGCGTGAGGAGGGGAGAGGGACATTCCCCTCCTCACGCCGCCAGCCCGGTGGGGCAGGTAACCCGGGACGGAGAAGGAGAGCGACGCTGAGCCCTAATGGGGCCAGGGCTGGCAGCGCTTCTCCCTGCTGGAGGCGCCGGCTGGATCGGTTGGGTGTAGCCTTCAGGTTGGGAAGGCCGGCAGCTCTGATGTTGGGAGTCCTGTTGAGCACTGGGGAATTAAGGGTGGAAAAATACGGATTTCTCGTTTCTCAGCCTGAAAGTTTTGGGATATTTAATCTTAAACCCCAGTGATGATAGCTTTTATTTCACAGTAAATACAGTCTAAGAAACTGTGCTCGAACATTGAAATGACATGCTTGTTATCTTTTTAACTCAAAAAATCCTTCAATTTCATTTCAGCCAATGTGAGAACAGTTACATTGATAAAAAGATGTGTAGTTTATTGTTTTTAAAATGACCAACTGCAAAGAGGGAAGTATCAGTCACCCATATGCTGCCTCCAAACTGGGCTTAAAGAAAGAGAAAGGAAACTGACATCTCAATAGAGAAACTGTGCATATATACTCTTATGCATGAGTTTTATCAGACTGTGACCTCTAGTGCGGATGTGCTGCTCTCCTCTTTCCTCAGAGCGACAGCCATCAGCTGGCCCGAGCTAGGGCTGCCTGTGTTACCAGCACTGGTGCTGGTGAAAGGCTGGAGCTGTGGGGGGATTCTGGGAAAAATAGTACTACACCTTTCCCAGGGGAGCTGGAAGAAAGACATGTCACTCACCGGGTGCGTCCACTGCCTTTTGGGTTGTTTGGGATACATGGTTCTCCCAGCTCCATTAGTCGAGCAAGACTTTCTGCAGACACTTCAGTTGTCCTTGCCAGTGGTTTTGTAGAAACCAGCTCATTCATGTTTTGGTAATCCACACTAATCTTTGTGTACAAGTGCTTGAGTAACTTTTTGCTGTGCTTCTGAATAGAGATTTAAGAGCTCTGCAGTGAAGTGCTTTTATAATAAGGGCTTTCACAAAGTATGCTGCAGAACACATACCAGCAAGCGCTACTGGTAATTAAAAGTAAATGAGAGATTTAAGAGAAATGAGCAAAGTACACCAGGATGCATTATCTCTGGCTTTATCCTTTTGTATTTGTTCATTTTACTTGCTAATAAGCTAGTGGCCTTACAGTAACTCATGGAAATGCCTGTTCTTCTTTATTAAAATTTTCTTATGTAACTACTGAAGTCTCTGATAATGTTGTATGGGTATTCCCCATGTCATTGCTGAAACGGAAGGCGCTGAGAGTGGTTTTCCAGTTGAAGCTGCAGGTTTTTACTAGGGCTTTAAGCACTTATGAAACTGAAAAGTAAGGATATTTAGAATAAATATTTGATGTAAAAAGAACTAAGTTGAGTTTAGAGGTTTGTGGTTACTTAAAATGTTGTGGTCATGATGGGTTGGGGGAATATAAATGAACCTCCAAATGCTCATGAACAGTGTTTTGTATACTTGTGATTAAGACCATACCCAACTATGTCTTCCCCCCCCCCCCCCCTTGCTTCTCAGTGCTTATTCTGTTAAAGTTACCACTTTTCTGTATCGTTCATTGAGATTAGGCAGTGAAAATAACCTCTTCTCATACACGATACTGATGATTACAGTGCAGCAGCACTCTAAAGAGTGGTAAGAGGCAAGTATTGTATTGCTGCTGGCTTCCTCTCTCTTCAAACTTAGATAAATCAGCCTTTGTTCTCTTCAGTTAAATGAAGTCAAAAGTTTGGGCCTAAGCTGCTGCTTCTGGAATTGTACTGGGGTCATGTAAGAAAAGAGGATTTATTAGCACCAGGATAAATTAATTGTGATGAACAGGAAGACGAAAAGCACTGCAAACAATGTTTTGTACTCACAAAAGGGAAAACCCTAAAGGTTAATTCTAACTTTGTTCACAAATTAGGCACACTTGGTTAGGCTTTTTTTGCTCACCATAACTTGGGCCTCCAACAGCTACTGAACCACCTGACCTTTCAAATGGGATTTACTGGAGTGTGTAACACTCCTGGGAGTGCTCCTTGGGAGTTATGATTTTTTTGGGGTCATTTTAGCATTGGATTTCCTTGCGCAGACCTTCTTCCTAATTGAGCGGTGGACAGACTGTGGCCTTTTCTGGTTCTGACCATAATACTAACCAAATATTATAATAGATATATATAAATATTATATATAAGATTATAATACTGACCAAATATTAACAACTCTGGTGGAAAGGGGTTTTCTTACCTCCTTTGGAGTATATCGGCCTCAAAGGTGAGCAGAAAGGAACCTGCAGAGTTGCCATAGTGATTTCCAAGTTCATCCTTAGCATCTTGCATCTTTTTCCAGAGAGCAGTCCTTTCATGCTGTGTCACTTAGATGACGATTGAGCTCACGGTATGTTGTAATACTGTTCAATATCCTTGAAGGAAAACTGCTGCAAAACCCGTATGTATTCGGGATGAATGTGCCCTTTGTAAATCAGCAGTCACACGAGGAGAAAGTTGGCCCTCTTGCACAGAGCAAAGACTGCTGTGCCTATGTTATGCCTGATAGTATCCTTACTTGGAGGTGTTTACTGAATTCTGTGTAATGTTAAATATTTAACTCTCCATTTAATTTTCTGTTTTCTTCTCTTTCAGCACATGGGCACAGATTCTGTTAACTGCTCACCTGAAAAATGCTTTCAGGGAGAAACATTTCTTTATTGGGCCTCATAGCTACTGCTGCTGTGGAATCTGAGATCTGCTGTCGACATTGTTTGTTAAACATGAGTTTTCTGTATGGAAATTGAATTAGCTTTTGACATGGAGTTACTTCCCTATTTATTGACTGACGCTGAGAATGTAAAGTGTCTTAATGACTAATCTGAAGTCTGCAGGCAGAGGGCCGAGATCATGTGCTTGCCTCTTTGTTCAGCGCGACTCCTTTGGGGCATGCAGAATTTGGATTCTGCCTTCCCTTTGTACATACTGTACAGTGCTGCTCCCTCTGTTTTAGACCCTCCTTCATCGTACAGCTGTGTTTCCTTCCAGTCTTACTGTCTCTGTGTGATAAATTACTAATTGGGACCTTGCTGCCTAATGAGTATGATCCGTGGCACTTTCTATTCTTTCTCATCCCCTCTTCCCTTTCCTTCCTCTCTTACTGCCTTACAAATAGGTGTGTTAGTTTGCAACCCTGGTGTCTGAGTAAATTGTCTAGTTACTCTGCTCTTTTTGCCTTCTGTCAATATGTTTATTTATAACAACAGCAAATGTAAAAATAAATATTTTTACCTTGAAAAGTAAATATTTATTATGTAAACAGCTGTTTACTCATTTAGGGATGGAAAGTGGAAAATGCATTTTCTTAATAGTGCTTCACTAGCTCCTTTTGTTTCAAAGGTGTATGCATTACCTATATTTATAGGTCAGATCAGACAGCATCTGAATCAGAACTACAGGTATAACAATAATTTGCTAAGCACAGTGTATGTATGCTCAGATAATAAAATCTCCTTGGAAGAGAGCTGCATGGGAGAAGTGGCTGCTTGAAACTTATAGCAGAATGAATGTGATGTGTGTGAACTTGCCCTGTTCTCTCTAGCGACAGAAGAGTTGGTTGGAGAGGTTTCTTTTGCTGAGGGGTCAGGAAACTGTTGCAGCGGAAAATTTCTTGCTAGAGCACCTTTGAGGCAACCTGTGGAGCAAAACGTCAAGTATTATAAAACTGAGTAAGAATGAAAGGGTTAATATCTGTGGAACAGGCAGGAACTAGAAGTTGATCTTAGATTTTTTAAAGTTGTTTTGCAAATATCCTGATCTGTGTAAGGAGAGGCATGTGGCATCAGTGTGGCTTTTCAAGACATTGCTAAATTCTGCATGATAATAATAATGATGATGATGATGGAAAACTAGAATCAAATGATAGCAATGTTTTAATGTGCCTGACGATAATGAAGTTTGACAGCGGCTCCATGACTTTGCAAATTGATGGGGTGAGCAGAGTATTCTGTAGCTCAGCTCGTATCTCTGGTAGCTCTTGGAATTAAAATTGGCAGTCAGGCCTTTGGGTCTGAAAAGTATGTTTTGTCCATTGAAATAAACCGTTCTTAGGGTCTTTTAGTTTTGGTTTTGGAAAGCCATAAAGCCTCCAGAGAGGAGAAGTGGAAAGATGATTTTTCCTGCTAGTAAACTGCTTTCTTGCTGTTTTAGTGGGATGCCAGAAGTATTTTATTTCCCATTTTTAATGTTATCATGGTAAGTATCCTTTCCACTGGCATATCAGCTTAGTTTTATGGTTTATCACTTCTGCAGATATACAAGCACCTGGAATGGTGGTTGTGGAGACTACTTGCAAGGCCAAATGCTTATAGACAGAGGCTTTTTTCTTATGTTATGGCTATCTAATTCTTGTGGTCTGATTGTTTCCCTTCCCTCACGAGCAAATGTTTGACTTGAGGGGAGCACCCCAGGGTTTCAAGGAAGGACCATCCCCAAACCTGTTCAGTGTGGTGAATCCAGGTAGCCTCAGCCCTGTAAAATATGTGACTTTTTGTTGTAAGGGCTAAGCTGATCATATGAGGAAGGGCTTGATTTCCGCTGTTGTTGGAGAGCAAAGCTTACCCTTCTCTGTTAGTAACCATCCCTGGCCAAAACCTTGAGGCAGGGATAAGGTTGAGTTTCATGTGCTGGTCTAATGTCCAGCTGCTTCCTGTTGTTGATGGCCCATGGAGACTCAGGTGCGGGGGGAGGGGAATGGGCAGTGCAGCCGTTTGCTGAGGCTTGGCTATTCTCTTTTATTGAGCAGTGCATTAATCTGTCAGTATTTGCTCTAATAGCTCAGGCTCTGATCAGGAGAGCTGAGCTGTTGACATCTCAGCTTCAGTCTTGAAGAGCAATAGGCACACTGATCTCAGGAGAGCAGGACAGACAATAGC